TGGAAGCTGAAGCTCCAAGAGGTTGAGTTATAATGTTTTATGTAACATAGAAACATAGAATGGTATGGGTTGGAAGGGACCTTAAAGACCATTTAGTTCCAGTCCCGCTGCTGTGGGCAAGGACAGATTCCACTAAACCAGGTTGCTCTAAGCCCGATCCAACCCGGCCTTGAACACTTCCACAACTTCTCTGGGCAACCTGTTCCAGTGCCTCACTATACTCACAGGGAAGAATTTTTTCCTAATATCTAATCTAAATCTGCCCTCTTTCCATTTTAAGCCATTCCCTCTTTGTCCTATCACTACATCAAATGCAATATCCAATGATGCAATACATTACATATCAATTTTTTTTTTTAATTTTTTTAATTTAAATTATACACATGGATTATCCAACAGAGAGGTGGACCCTGGAACTGAAGATAGCTGCAAGGCCAGCTCACTGCCAGTTCTGTCCCAGGCAAACATCACATGCAGTCACTTCCTGATGAGTGTCTGAACAATGAGAGCAAGCATCCTCAGTTTGTTGTTTTAAACAGGATTTTAAGCTTCAGACTCCACATTGTATACCTCAGCCTGCATTGTTTATCTCAAAAGAGCTAAACAAGTTTTGGTCACAACTTTAAGTTCTCCAGTGAAGGTACTAGCCTCCTGTGACTGTTGGCACTGGTATAAGAGGTCTCAGACCCTTTCTGAAGATCTGGGCAAGGTTAACGTCAGGACCTGTAACATCCAAATGCTAAAGCCACAAAACTCCCAAAAGATATTCATTGTGAACTTGAAAAGAATGGCCACCTTCTGCCTGTACAAGTTGTCTACACTAACATTTTAAGTGCTGGTAGGAAGAGGAGAGAGCTAAGCAAGTCCCACCCTCTCTGCTGAAATGGAGTTGTATTCGTCAAAATTTTAAGTCTGATGTCTGGGGAAAAGAAAGAGCAACTTAGCAAGATTTCACAGGGATAGCAACAGTAACTATGCAATGCCTGTATCCCACCGAAAGACTCATCTGTGTCGCAGGAGATGCAACCTCTTGACCACCACACGTCAGACAGATCGCTCTCCCGTAGATTTTAGATTAAAAAGACTTTTCTATACTGCTTTCCTCCACAGTGACACCATCTCTGTTCAAATGACTTCCACACCTAAGTCACTGTATCAGACCACCCTAAACCAGTGTTTTTCATCAGCAAAGCTGGTAACAAATCCACAGATGCCAGGATCACTCACCTCACCTCAAACCTGCACAAAGCAGCAGTTCAGATTCCTGCATCCCCGCAACTCACTCTAGCTCCCCCTACTTGTACAGCAACAACTTCATTTGGCCATTTCCATCTCAGGAGATGTATCTTTACCACATACACAACAGCATTGTGCCTAGGGCAAAGGGAAACCCCAGAAAGAAGGGAAGATGATGATCTGGCCCATCTACAGTGCTCTTACATGTAGATCACAGCATACTGAGGCTACACCTTTTCTTACACTGTAGCCCAAAGCAATAATGATGCTTCACCTTTTTCCTCTTTAGGAGCTTTGTTTACAGTCACAACCATTAACAGAAGAGGACTTGAGAGCTCCTTTCCACCAGCGGAACATCCCAAACTAGGGAGAAAGAGATGCTGAGATTTGGGCAAAGAGGAAGGAGCACAAGCCCTTGCCATTACTGTACCTGCATTCAGCTTGAACAGATGACCATAAACCAGTGAAGTGGAGAGCACTTCCACAGCCAGCCATGCAGCCACATGCTGCTGGAGGAGATGTAAAGCAACAACCACTCTTAAAGCACGGATTCATGCCAAACAGCACTTTATATTATGTGCTCTGGGCACACTGAAAATTCATGTCACTGGCGGCTGGACTGGAGGAGACTTCATTCCCCTCAAGAAGTTACAAGTACTCACATCATCCTTCAAGTACAGCTGGTGACAATTCCAGTCCCCTAATCCTTGAAGCACTGTGCTACCCCTCAGTTTCCTGACACACCTCAGTTCTGAGCAGTGTAGTTCCAGCACTACAGCTTTCCCCAGAGGGAATCAGTCCCAGGCAATACACCACCTGCCATGCCGTGGATTTACATGCCAGAGATCAAGACCAAACCCAAGCTAAAGGCAACTTTCACATGCCCCGAGGAGAGGGACGAACAGTAAGCACCCAGGTTTTACAAGCTTTTCAAGTGTATTTTTATCAACTCCTCTGCAAGAGTGAAGATGGAAATTGACGCATGATTCTTTCCCCCTCACCAGAAAAAGCCAAAAATCTCCACACAGCAGCATGACCAGCTCTACCAAACTGTAAAATACCCAAACTAAAACATAACAAACAAAAACACAAAGCCAAAACCACAAAAACAAACAAACAAAAAACCCCACCCCAAATCACTCTCTGTTTCAACATCTTTAATGCTTATGATTAAATGAGCATCTCAGGACAAAAACTTCTTGGACAACAGAATCTGTGGTGGAGAAGAAGAAAAAAGTTGAGAGTTCAGGAAGTAGAATAAAAACTTCATAATTAAAAACTGCCATGTCATAAGAGTTGGCAATGGTGTTTTAAGTATGGTTAAAACAGCCCTGTCAAGACATTGCACTTACAATGGCACATACCTGCTGACACTTGATTTGCAAGTAGGAAAGAGAAGATATAAAAGTAAAGGGAATTTATGCAATGGCTCCTCCCCTTACATAGAAGGTGGCATTTTATTCCTTGCTGTAATCTCGAAAAACATCATTCTCTTGTTAGATATTAAAAAGTTGAGGGGGGGAAAAAAAAAGCTGAAGGCAGGAACCCTTACTATCAATCCAGCACTGCTGACCCTCCAATTACCACACTTGAATTGCAAATTCTTTGAAAATGCAACACAGCTTCTTGCACCAACACTTTCATGGCTAACAACTCCCTTCCCTCAACATACACTCATACCCATTCTGGAGGAGGACTCTGGCCCATCCTCTTTCTCCAACTTCATCTTCACCAGACACCATCTACCAAATGTGTTGCTAGTCCTCAGTCAGCAGCCATTTAGTCAAGCACTGTTCTTTGCTTAATGAAAGAAAGAGCTGCCAAGTGTCCTTAATGATATATAAGACCACACACTGAGACAATCACACAGTCAGAGCAGACACATTGATGTTCTCTTTTCAGTAAAGCTTTCTGTACTGAATTTCTTTTCACAGGAACAGTCAATCATCAAAAAAACCCACAACAAAACAAACAAACAAAACCCACCAAAAAACCCAACACACCACCTCAGGAGAAACTAGTTGACCTAGCTGAACAGAGTGAAATACCAGGTTGGTTCCCAACTGGGGGGGGTGCAGGAATCCACATCAGCCAGTAAGTAAAACTAGGTTAAAAGTGGCAGAAGCTGCACCCAAAACACAATCTGAACACTGATATACTTTAACTGTTGTAACACTAAGACTTCTTGGTGGATAACCTCTCTCAGGAAAGCAGCACCATAAAGAGAAAAATCATTCTAAGTTGCAAACCTTTTCCTGAAAGCTACAAGTTTGTTGCTAAGGCTGACTACAGAAGCTGCGATATGGCAGCAGGGAGTAAGCACTCTCCTGAGTGGCTAAAGCATGTTTTCCAATGGTAGCAGACCATGGGCACAGGTTTCCCGCTGCAGATCCTAAACTGCAACAAAGGGACTAATAAAAAACTGAAGAAAGTAGCAGTTTCAGGAATTGCTGAGGTACATAGAAAGTAGTCAGAGCTACTTTGGCTTGCTTGTTTTCAGGGTCAGGAAGGGCACCCCTCTAAAAGAGAATGTTAAAAGTGGAGAAATGACTAGCAACTGGCAAAGGAGACAAAAAAAAGCCCCCAAACCAAAGACCATTTACATGTTCACCAGCATCTCCAGATGACTGTTGCTGTTGGGCTGCATGCTCAGTGCAGGGGTACCAGCAGGCACTGCCACAGGAGAGGCTGTTCCCAGCCTGCAGCACTTCTTCCACCACCAGCAGTTACAGGGGGGCATCGTACAGGGGATGGCTGGATGACAAAAACATAGTTTGCTTTTGGGGAAGCATTGGCATCAGAGGGTGTGCACATTCTCCCAAGTAACCAGGGCATGTGACTCAGCAACAATACCCATTCAGAAACAGCGCACTCAGTTCTGTAACACAGACAGTAAATACAGCACCAAAATGGTAACTCAGGGGAGAGAAGAGCAAAAGCATGTAGTCGCCAAGTGATGCTTAGTAAAGCAGGGTATTTAGAATCACTTTATGCAGATTCAATACTTGGTTCCTCTGTACAGTGACCAACTCAGGACTTGCTCCCACTCCCAGTCTCCCTCCATCCCCATTTAGGTGTTCACAGTTCATCAGTGGGAATTCCCTTCCTTGCCCCTGCCAGCAGTAAACATTTTTGGAAAGCTGCCAGCCTGATCTATATAGCTCACACCAGGTGAGAAATCCTTCTGCACAGGTATCTCTAGGATTTCAGGCTCTCTGCCATCCTCATGAACTGCATCAGTCACCACCCCAACCACAAGCTTGCTGGTTTTAAGTATCTGTGCCTGGAAGAGTAAGAGCTTATTGGAGGCCTTCTGTACATTAAGAGCTCTTCACCCCCTGCTGTGCAGTGATACTATTTTACACCTTTAAGTGAAGATGCTGACTAAAGCAGGGAGTTGTAACTAGAATTCTCTGCCACAACCTTCAGGCATATTATTGCATGCTATCTATCCCAAGTGCCATGGCATTTAATTCAGGAAATGTATAAACAAGTTTTTCATATTTCAGATTTAAAAAGATATCACCAATAACAGAGACTGACAGCAATGAGTAAAGACAAGAGAATCCCTTTACAAAATTTAAAGTGTGTATGCTTTTTCCACCCTTCAATACAGAAGTTACCACGCAAAGCAGTATTTTCCAATTATAAAGTAGATCCGCTTTAGATGAATAGGAAAAAAACCCAAAACACCCAATGACATATGGTTTTATCAGATGCAGTAATTAAAAACCCAACATTAAAAGACCAGAAAAGCAAACATGAAGTCATCATCAAGTTTTCTGTTTTATTTAAGATTTTAGTTTTAATTCTGAAGAAAGAGGTACATTTCCTTGGTTTTAGTTTTAGCGTCAGGTTATAACCATGTTTATTTATCTGTTTCTTTTTTCCTGTCTTTTCAATACTGCACAAACGTCCAGAAACTACAGGGTTAAGTAAAAGCTGCAGGCAGAGGAGGTCAGAGGTTGCTCCTGATGGTGATCATGTGGCCCCAATGCAGTGCTATCCCAGAGTGCCCTAATCAGGTGAATCTTCTAAAGAAAAAAAAAAAAGAAAGAGAGACTGACAGAGGAGATAGAAAGACTGCAGTAAATATCACTCGTGTTTCAGCTGCTTATAATTATATTATGTATATGCTAGGTATTAAATCTGTGAATACTTTTAAAACATTAAAGTTTACTTTAAATCTAAAGCCAAAATTAAAGAAAAATCTTATTCTCCTCTCTTTAAACCACTCTTTAGCAACATGCCAGTTACTCATAGCTATAAGTGTTTTGTCTTTCAACACACTTCATCTCAAACTCTGACTGATGCAATAAAATCCCCTGCTCAAAAAAAAAAAACAACAAAAAACAAAAAAACCACCAACATAGCAATTTCCCTGTGTAGTGCCACACAATGCAAAATAAATGCTGGGCCACTGTTTGCCCCACATGTTCAGTAATTTCATTTAAATTAAATACCTTTTTCATGTTCCTGCATTTGATTCTGCATTGCATTTTTTCCCCTACTGCAGACTGACACTTTTCCACTAGGCAGAAATACTCATGTGCAAGAGACATAAGACAGTAATATTCTCCTTAGGCATTGAGACTGCATTTTGCTTTCTCTCTCTCTCTCTCTTTTTTTTTTTCCTTAGAATGGTTAGAAAATATCTCAAACAGTGTATTCCAAACACTGGTTCTGCAAAAACTTAACGAAAAGATATGGTCATGACCCTGTGATGGCATTGCATTTGGGGGGGAAGTTTGATCAGGAACTGGATTCTTCAGAAAGAAAGATATGACAGGGAACAGTAGGTGGGCATGGGAAGGAGTCAGGGTGGGACACTTCCTGCATTTCTAACGTTTTGGGTCTTATTTTTCTTTTTTTTCTTTTTCCTCCTTTCCTAATGACGATCCAGCGCTGAGCTCTGTAGTAGATCTGTGGGGGTTTTACTGGGGGGTCTGAAGGCTGTCTGAAAGCCTGGAGGTGGGGAATGGAAGCTGGTGGGGTTTGAAGGAGGAGAGTAGGGATTCCAACTGGCTCTGTGCAGAGGGATCTGTGTGCCGAAGGGGTTACTGTGGTGCGTCTGTGATGGTGCTGCACTGGGGCCGTCCACCTCTGTGAGGGCCTGAAGAGATTTTAGCCAATGTGGAGGATTGTCATCTTGAAGGGTGTCTAAACTGTTTCCTGTGGAGGCTGGGATACCTATGAAAAGAAGAAAAAAAAACAGGGATACAGGCAAGTCAGAGTAGAAGCAATAAGTTGAGCATGAAGGAGGTCAATTTAACCTAACAAAAAGCAACAGTGAAAAAACATGATTAGTTTGTACAGAAAATGCATTATTATGTATAATTACCCTGCCCGCAAAACATTTAACATGAATTCCAGATAGGAGAAAGTTCACCCTCAGAACACTTCTTCATAAAACACACGTTTTTCTATCAAACATCTTTCTCAAGAACTGCATCCCTGTCAACATGATCTTACCACACCAAGCTGCCAGTACACTGCATGCTTCACCTTCTACTCTGCCTACTTGAATCATGCTTCAGTCTGTCTAACAGGGAAATGCAACCAGACAGCCTTATAAAAGAGAGCTTTATAAACAAGTGGAGTACGTCCCTTTTTAAATAACAAAGTCCAGTGACTGCCTTCAGTGCCTCAGGACCAGCGGCGCGCATACCGGACATGCCATCCGGCAGAAGGGACACCTATAGATTGACCGTATAGAAAAGTGCTGCTCCACCTGACTGCCTGCAAAGGTCTCGGGCATGCATTGCAAAGGCCTAAGTGATGCTCTGTTATACCTAGCGGTTCCACAAAAATTCCTGGAACCTTGAGGTTTTGTGGATGGAAGCTGGAAGAGACCACCGCATACTGTCTTTTTTTTTTTTTCCAGATGTAAATCAGTTTGTGCCAAATACCCATCTGATGGTTTGCCAGTGGAGCTGAAGGAGTGAGAAACGGTTACCTGTGATGATTGCGGGGTCCATCCAGCTGCCAGGGCTGTCCCAATTCAGGCTGTCGGTGGTGGCAGTGTTGGACGTTGGTACACTGTGGTTGGCGTTGGAGGGGGAAGAAGCATTGGGCAGTCCACCAAAGTTGATGTTAATGTTCGGTAGAAGTGCCCTTAGCCCGTCCTGCCATTCCTTCATATTTAAACTCTCTACAGAACTGCTGTTGTCTGGGAGATTTACCAACAAAAAAAAATGAAAGATAAAAAAATAAAAAGCTGAAGTTAGAAACAGATGTCCTTCTTTGGTGGGGTATGGGATTTTGCTTTTACTTTTTAAGCTAAGCATTTAATACTTTCCCTGTCCAAAAACTAGGGTCAAAGTTTCCATGATTGATGAATTACTCAGAGGGGCAGGCAGGTTTTAAACCAAGTGTAAGTAGCGGGAGAAAGATTTAACTCCTCTCCCAATACATATTTCCCCATGTCAGTTCAGAGACTCGAATAATCAAGGACACAGTGGCTCTTCCTCTATTACTAATAGGAGAAAATCTACTGGGTACTTGATGAGAATACCTCTGTTGCAACTTGGCTGCTTTATTAATGGGCAGCAGGCTCAAAAGGGTTGTTTTGTTTGATGCGTATCAAAATGAAGAAAGGCTAGGTAGGGCTTTGCAATAGAAACCGAACATGAGAAACCAGGGAGGCGGAGAAATATCACAAAAGTCTTTTGTTTTATTATAGCTTGCTCATTCTCAGCCCTACAGATGTTCTTCTGAAGGTAATGGTAATGAAGTTGGAGGGAGTGAAATTTCCTCTTGCAGTTGAAGAACAGTAGTGAAAATTCTTTAGAGATCTTTCAGAATATTTCTCGACACAGCAACATCCTCAAAACTTTGGTCAGAAGAAAACCAGATGGACACCAGAACAGTCAAGTCTCAACTACTTGCCTAAATGTTTCAGGAGGTGTATTGATAAAGGACAACAGAATAATGTGGCTATTAGCACTACAGCAAATGATCCCTGAACACAAAAGTTACACCATGCTATCTAGGAATAGACTATTAGGTTCTATGATCCATCTCTTGCTTTAAGTATCTCAAAGCAAAACAAACCAGACACAAGCGTTCTAGTATTTATCAGCCAACACAGAAAGTTCTACTTCATTAACTTGTGGTCAATTATATTTGAAAAGGAAGTGTTGGGTAGTATGTTGGCACAATGTCGTCTTTTTGACACGTATCTAGAGTACAACTGATTTGGGTTTTTTTTAAACATCTCTGCTTATCCTAATTGAAGAAAAGACCTCAATGTCAATCAGAATTGTTATAGAGAGATACTCACACAACATCATGTTGATGCTACTTCAACAGAAGAGATTTAAGTCTTCATGGAAAATTAGAGGATATCACTAACTTGCAACTCTATGTTAGAGAGCAAAGAAAGCAGTCTCAATTGCTATCAAAACCTGCCCTGGCAATATTTGTAAAGTTGAATGCTCAGAAAGATGTCTCGAGCAATTGCCTTTTTGTAGTTACAAGGGGGAAAAAACCTCCAAAACCAAACAAATAACCTACTTCTTGAAATTCTGTGCTTCCATGCAGAACTTTCCTTCTCCAGGCCAAAAGTTTTTAGAATAAACTTTATATTTAAAGATTCTGCTTCTGTACAGAATTACAACAAGCAACTTCAGTCACAAATCACAAATACTTCAGTCCAAGTCACCAACTGAACTTCAAAACAAATTATTATACAAATCTGCTCTACCTACTCTGCCAATGACGGCTGTTGGAGCAATGCATTCATTTCTAAGCCTATACATGCTTAATGCAGCTGTTCTAGCACAATCATCCACCTACACACATAAGTGTCCTCACAGGGATAATGGCACAGATGCAAAGAGGGTACTGAGAAAATCCTCCTCTGTGTCTGGGCAAGTTCACAGAACACATTTGACCACAGAGAGTGGAAGGTTTACAGTCAGCTCCTGACTGTTATCCTCACTTACTGGCTGAGGTTGGGGAGTGACTTGATCTCAGAGGTTATGGCATGAGGTACCTCCACCAGGAAGACAGACAACTCCTAAGTATTCCCATAAACAAAGAGAAGGCAGGTAAAAACCAGGTAGTGGAAGTAAAGCCTGCCTGTTACTACATGCATCGTGTTATACCTTAAGTTCAAATTTTCAGTGTGACAGGAAGAAAAAAAGAGCCCTAAGAAAACCAAAGCTTTCCCTTAAGCAAGTAACAACCTAAGATCATCTTTTTACTAACACCCTAGTGCAAAGATGCAATCAAGCCTCCAGACATAAGTGTGACTGTATCTAACAAAATGTGCAGCAATGTGCCCTGTGAGGCCTGCTGTACAAGTCCCTTTGGGTGAAAACAATGCAGGCTTAGCAGCAATTCATTCTGCGTTTGTTTTGCATCAAGCCACAGTGCATACAACTGGCTTTCACTTCAACTTTAATTTCTCCTCCTGTAAACCAAATCTACTTCCTGTTCCTTCCAAACTCCTACTTTTTCCTTTGCAATTCTAAAGCACAGAATAAGTGCTTTGAAGAATTTAGTGCAATACATTTTTCATCAAAACCTACAATCCCAGGGTTAAAAATAATAAATCAAAATTTTACAAAGTATTAGTCAAAAGTGTCCTCAATATGTTCACAAGCCTCTTGAACATTTATAAGCCCATTTGAGACAAGTTCTAAATTAACTTTTCAGAACAAAAGCAGTCAGCTCATGATCACTGCAACAGATTCTGCATGGTACACCATTAGTTTCCACTTTATTTATTTTCTCACTGCTGCTTCCAACAGCTTGTGCAAAGAAACACAGCTCTGTTGAATTACTCATTTCTACTACAATGCAAAAAACCACACAAAAAATGCTTACTGGGTCCGTGCATGAGCGACCATACTGATCTCAATACCTGTGAGCTGGGAATCTGCATGCTCATATGATGGTCTCAGTCATGGAGATTACTAAGCCCCAACATGTCCTCAAAACTCATGTACAAGAAAACAAATGTGTAAAAAACTACACACCTGCAACATGTCATTGAGGAAGTCTAATGAAGACAAAGCCTGAAAGATGTTATAAGAAACAGGATAGGAAAATAAATGTTGTAGGGCATTAGGCCCCCTTCTTATTAGACATTATAAGAAAATATGTATGCTTTGTCCTGGGTACCAAGTGACAAAACAGAACATTTTAAAAAAATGTATTGTCTTTTCCAGACATCTGGGTTTGTGGGGCTGGAAGGCAAGCTAGGACAAAAAACACTGACCTCTGACACAAAAAGAAACCCCAAGTACCACATCACTCAGGTGTCTGTAACAGTTTTCCAGCTTAGCTAATAAATGCACAGAGTTGAAAAAAAAACCCAAAACAAAAAAAAGAAACCCACAAAACAAACACCAAACACGACCAAAGCTTTCTCAGTTACTGGCTATGTTAAGTAAAGCACCCAGAGAGAACATGAGCAACTTCCAGGCACCATACACCAACACCCAAACCGAACAACTAAATCAGCATATCTTTGCTGGAGTCTGACAAGTTTAAAACAAGACCCTAAGTGAAAATCCAAGTCCACCCCAAACACAAATGTTACTTCCACCAACTGCAGAAAATAAATACCTTCAGAATTCACTACTCATCCCTCAGCTAGTTTGTTCTTCCTGTTAAATAGGTTTATACTTCACCATGGAGCTAAGTACCATAGTTAAAAATGAGAAAAGGTTAGCTCTCAGTTAACCCAGATCTATTAAAAAGGGCATTTGCCTGTTGCCCAAAGATCGGGAGAAAAAAACCTCATCAGGTGAATTTAGTATAGATAAGTAGAGAGCAGGTCTTCAATGAAGGTCTTCTGGCATAAGGAGTACAAAGGCACGTGCCCATGTCCAGGGATTCTACAATTTTATGGTATTATCCATCCAATCCAAGAACTATCTGCCCCCCAGATCCTCCCCAAATCTGCCTCCCTGTCACACTTCCCCTGAACTGAGTCAGAGTACCCAAGACCCCTTTCTTCCTCATCTTCCTCTTCTTCACAGCACGTACTGTCTTTGGAACTTCTCCAAGGTTCTGGGCTTGAAGGTTGCTTTGACAATGGCAGTATCTTGTTCAGGCCTGGGAGGCATATGTTGTTAAACAGAATGTGTTTAGTATAGTCCTGCCTTGAAAGGAGCCTAAACAAGCCTGAAGAATTTAGAAAATTCGATATGAAGTGGGAATAGGGTTTGGTAAGTGTT